TTCTGGTCTTCCTGCCTGATGAGATACAAGGGAAGAGTTGTGAATGAAGAGGGTGTTGTGAGTTATGTAAATATAATGGATTTATCTCATTTTTCACATGAATCCAATTGCCTGTCAACCAGAGTATTAACATGCTGGTTAAGTGGCACGTTGCTTACCCTGCTGACAACCTTTAACATCCTGCGTAATAGATGTCTACGATCTCTTTCTCACGTTAGATGGTATATTAAGGTAAGTAATGTTGACGTTAGGCGTGGAGTGTTGGGCAAAGAGGGAAAATCAATCGACGAGGCTACAAAGTTACATAGATTGAGATAATTAGGTCACGTGCTGCGCATGCCTAACCATCGCCTCCCCCGACGGGCATTACTACCTGATATAGGTGCAGGTTGGAAAAGAGTAAGTGGTGGCCAAACAAAAACATGGCCTCATCAATCCATGAAATCCTTGACTGTTAAACTGAGTCAGCAGGTAGGGAGATGCAGACTTCCGGGTTGGGGCCCTCGGGACTCTAGGAATCAATGGCTGGAGACAATAGGTGACATGGCTCAAAATCGTTGTCAATGGCCAGCGCAGATGTATTCAGTCTCTGTAATCTTTCATATTTCTTTCTACCATTACCCATTCTGTTTCACTCTTATACTTGTCAGACTGTATTGATTCTCTTCACTCATCTTCTTGTCTACCTTTGTGTGCTATTTGGAACGTGGCAACTCGAACTGGTGCACTTCGGTGCCAAGTTCTATGTTGAATCCAGACAGACAGACTTCAATAGCCATTTTTATTACTATCATCTGAATATAAATAGTGCTTAATGTTTTAATCTTTTAATCACTATTGGCTAGCGAAAGTTCTGTGTATATGAAACTATGCATATTACATTAAAGTCAAAGGCTTGTAACTTGACAAACAAATTTTTTACTTTATGCCTCTTTTTAAAGTGATCCTGACGTCACCTACAGAATTTCACTCGTTACTTTCTTCTGTTGGTATTTAACAATGCTTATACCTGTTAATATGGAGAATAAATTGCTTTATAAGGAAATACTGGTATACAATGTTTTGGTTATCGTGTGTGTACATCTAATTCAAATTATAAGGAATATATATGCAACCGATTTCCCTCATACTATCCTTTCAAGTTAGTAACATTGTTTGTTGAGTGAATTGATGTACTGTGTTGTAGTTCTGTTTATTTATTTATTTTCATTCCTGCTAGTGACATCGTGGTAATTGAATTTTACGGAAATTTATGACTGTTTGATCTTGATATGTGTGAAACGTTCAATGCTACCTAAAATAAAAATTTAAAAGACTGACCTGTACCAACTGCACTTTAACGTGACTGTTGAACTTGCCCATTTGAATGAACATTCTTATCTAAACATATTAAAATTTATTAATGGAGTCACTGAATAGACAAGGAATTTCAGTTGAAAGAGAATGAGTTCAGAAGCAACTAATCTCACAGTTCAGTAACTGATGTATTGTGGAATAATTAGGTGAGGTTATTTGCTAGTGGTAATTAGCATCTCCAGCGAAGCCAATTTTACCCTACATGAATGAAGAGTTAGAGAAAGTCAGCTGTGGAATTAGTATGTTTTTTGGATGTTTTACTTCGACATGTATATTTAAACAGAAGATTAGTAACAACAATAAAGATTAAGAGTACCAAATAGGATGGATAATACTGGTTAATTTTGATTCAACTCATCACGCTGTTGGAAATAGTCGATGGAGAGAGGGGCTGAAAAATATCCTTTCTTCCTGGAACCTCTACTTGTACGCGAAATTGAAGCATTTCAACGAAAACATAAAGACCGTATTTACTGAGAATATACGTGAACACTTTTGAACGATGTCTGTCATCATATCCAGTCTTATAAAAACAGAGGTGAAAAAGACGATAACATTAATTCGAAAGTTAGAAAAGGTTAATGAATTTCTGCGTTTATATGTGGGCTGAACGACACAAGAAAACTCTTCCGTGACGGTTCTAAACAGTGAAAGGAGACGAAGCGCAATTGTAAAGTAGCTGTCGCAATGCTATTTTAAAATTACGACGTTTTCGGCATAAAGTAGATATAAAATGATGAGGGTTTTATTAGTTGGTCGCACTAAGTGAAGCAATACGTTAAGTAATAATGGAGTTAGGCGGAATGCGTAAGTCAGTCGAAGCGTCATTAATGGAGGGGATCAGATAGCGTGCTACTCATTTTGTGTCGTTGCTTTCGGCAATGCATTTGAATTAGAATTAGGTTGGAAAGGAGTGGGGCGTAGTCAGACTAAAACATGTTCACAGTCCGTAAAGGCATTGGATTTAGCCAAGCGTAGAAGTCTATATCACCTGTGTCACGCCCTTCCAATGATAGAGAATCAATTGTTTCCAGCTATTAATAAGAAGCGGCTGCCGACCATTTACACTCTGTTCAGTACTTTCTTCTCTTACTATGTGTACTCTTGATGTTGGCAGTATAATCGATTTGAATCTAAATTTGAGTAGCTTTACCGAAAGAAAACTGCAGGAGATGGTCTTTCATTTGACCTGTTGTCAATTAGTTTCCATTGAGCATCCTAACGGCCTCTGGTAGACCTAGCCCTCACACTGTATGTGGTCCTCATCCTGGTAGATGCAGTGTGTTCCAGGTAATTGATTTCTGTAGCAAGACATCCAACTGCGGATTCTATTCATTGATACCAACAACTAGTTTTTCCAGGTGGATATCCAACTGGTGTTTGAAATTTAATTTGGCTGCTTGTGTTTGCAGTCTCATGCTCTTATGCGTAGGTTTGATGTGTGCATTCAACTTTTGCATTTCATCTATTATTAAATTTCTGGGTTTTAAATGCTGGGTAAATAAATTTCTCAATTCATCCTATAAGTGAAACCCTACAAGCTTAGAATGCAAACATAATACTGCTTGAAGTACAGTTAATTACAGTTAGACTGACGGGAATAACTATTAAAATACGTGAAATGCATGAAGTCTTCAAATGTAACTGTGATTAGAAGTCGACTAGATAAGGAAGAATGATTCAGTGATTCATATGTGCACTGAATGTCTGTGTGTATGAATTATAGTTACCATCCTGCCTGTCTGTCTGTTTTCGACATAGAACTTTGCACAAATGTGCACCAGTTCAAGTCGCCACACTCCGTGTAGCACGCGAAGCAAGAGAAGAAAGTACAAGAAAAGCATAATAGAAACAGTGAGCAGAGGTGTAGGACAATGTAGTAATAACGAAGAACAAAACAGTTTCATTGGAGATCATAAGTCACAAGGAGTGGATGCATCTGCGCTAGCCACTGAGAACGATTTTGAGCCATGTCACCAATTGTTTCCAACCATAGATTTTTACCGTCCCGAGGACCCCAGTCTGGAAGTCTACACCTTCCTACATGGCTTAGACCAACTGTTGTGAATTTCATTGACTGATGCCAAGTTTTTGTTTGACCCCGCTAGCTTTTTTCCAGCCTGACCCTATATCCGCTAACATTGGTCGTCCAGGGAGGCGATGACTTGGCATACGTAACACATGTCCTAACCATCTCAGTCTTTGTAACTTCACGACTTCGTCGATTGATTTCCCCTGTTTACTTAGAACTCGACGCCTAACTTCAGTGTTGCTCACATTATTATGCTACTTTACACGGGAAATAGAGCGCAGGCACCTATGATCAAAGACAGCTAGCCACGCTTTTCATGTCTTCCACTCTCAGTGGCCAGGTCTCACAACCATAAAGGAGGACGGAGCGGACTGATGAGCAGTACACCCGCCCTTTGGTCGATAGTCGAACATCTCGTCTACGCCAGAGTCGGCGTAAACTGGCAAATGCGAAACGAGCCCTCTGTATTCGTGCTGAGATTTCGTCAGAGATCAACCGTTGGGGCTGATGGTACTTCCCAAATAAGTGAAGCGGTCAACGTGCTCTACCACTTCACTTCCTATTTTTAAACTAGGCGTCGATGTAGTCCAGTCCTGTAACATCATCTTGCATTTGGCGGGAGCGAATCGCATGCCAAACATTCGTAGATTACGGCTCAAGGTGTTTAGAAGACTCTGCATTTTGTCAGCGTCTTCGCCTAGAAGGACTATATCGTCTGCATATTCCAAGTCAACGAGATTATTCCCCGGTAGCAAGTCAATCCCTGAGTCGCTGAAGTCACTTAGGGTTAAGTCCATTAACACATCTATGATGAAGTTGAATAGAAAAGGGGATAATGGGCATCCTTGACGGACACCACTGGTCGTCATCAGTTCAGATGACAGCTCGCCGTAAGCCCTCACCTGGCTGTATGAGTACGAGTAGAGTGCCTTAATCAGTGCAATATATTTTCTCGGGATTCCCTTTACAGCCAAGCATCTCCAGAGAACTTCTCGATCGACAGAGTCGAATGCTGCCTTTAGGTCAAGAAATATAATGACTGTTGAACGCCGGTAGGAATGCCTATGTTCTAGAATCTGTCGGAGGGTGAAGATATGATCAATACACCCTCTTCCTGGTCTAAAACCTGCCTGGCTCTTTCGTGTTTGTGCCTTTCGAGCACCACTCAGTCTACGCATGATTATTGAGCCTAAGACTTTAGATACTATATTAGTCAAGCTAATCCCTCTGTGATTATCACAGGAAGACTTGTCTCCCTTCTTGTATATAGGGATAATCAGTGACTTACACCAACCCGATGGGACTTCTTCTGATTCCCAGACGCTGCCTAGTACCTCAGTTAATGCAGACAGTAAACTGTCTCCACCGTACTTAAATACCTTTGGCGTCATTCCATCAGGTCCCGCTGCTTTGCCTAGTTTCAGATTGGTGACAGCTTTAGTAACCTCAGTTAGGGATGGAGGACCTGTGTCTCTATCCCATTCAGGGAGGTGTTGGATGTTCGGCAGTTTGAGCGTGGCTGTGGGCCAATTAAACTGTTCCTCAAAATGTTCTTTCCAGCGATCCAGTCGTCTATCCTGGGAGCTAATTATAGTGCCATTTTTTTCCGAGATTGTTTCACTAATGATTTGTCTTCTCCCACCCGTTCCCCTGAACCATCCGGCGAGTTACTGATTCACTACTACTGTACTCGATGTTAGCCGTCCATATTGATTTGATTTTTTATGTTACTAGAATTCCACATTCATCGGGATGTTTATTTGTAGGTTCTCAAACCTTTGGAAATTATCTTACAAAAAACAAAAAACAACTTACGATATTTGGTTTGTGGAAACATACCATCTCTTTATTTTGTGATGCTAATGTGAGTGATACTTCTTTTGTTATTTTATTTATTACGGTGAAAATTTTGTCCTTTATTGAATTCAACTTAAGTAATATATTTCAGTGTGTCTATGGTGGTTCAGAGGTAGTATGTTCGCCGACCAGGCATGTTGTCCAGGGTTCGATTCCCAGCTGGCGCACATCTTTACCTCCCTCAGGTGTTTGTAAGCTCGATAAAGAGAGGAGGTTGGGTGTGAGACCAGCAGCACCACCCCGTAAGAATAAAACAATACTGCTACTAAAAGTTCAAAGCTCATGGCTCAAGCCCTATGTTCTACTCGGAACGCAAATAAATAAGTATGAACATAAATATATTTTACAGTGAACTAATTAATTATACTCAGAAACGTACAGGTTAGAGCAACGATAGCTTTAAAGTCTTTTGGAGATAATCATAAGATTACCTTTGAGTAATTGAATATGTGGCTCAATAACATGGATTAACTTCTACTTAAAAAGATACGAAACAGTTGATACTGAACTAGAAATAGTATTAATCGTGATGTTGTATTTGTAAAAGGTCATTCATGTACCTATGGAGGACTGTTTCATTTCCGTTCCACTAATAGCGGAAAGTTGAACGGTTATTCTGCTAAACCGGTCGCCGATATTTTAATCAGTAATATACTGAACATGTTAGCAAGTTGTTTAATACCTAAGATTTTCAATGTTATGTATTACTGGGTAAAAAAGGTAGTAAGTAACTCAAGTAACTATCTGTGGCTAGGTGCTACTCATTCTGACATTGCCTCCTGTCTCAAAACTTCTTCCTCTTGCACATTTTTGCTCATTATGGTTCTTTTGAATTTCCGTTTTATTCTCTACCTTTGTATGCTGCATGGAGTAGGGAACCTTGAACTTCTTCACTCTTGTACAAAGTTCCATGTTGAAACCCACTTAGTCTCTAATCTGTCATTAGCAATATGGGCCGTTAAATCACGTAATGCGATCTTTTTGACTAAGTTCAGGCAGGTTCTCATTTCAACTTAAAGTCATACTGAACTGACCTTCATTTTTTTAGCTGTCCACCTCTACTGTTTGTGCCACCGGAGATTATCGACCGCACACACGCTTTTTATATCACTGAAAACTTCCGAATGTCATATATGGTGTCCGTATTCGTTGCCTTTTTGCTCTTTTCTACCAGTATCCTATAGTCATCTGATTTTTTCTTAGCATACAGTCCTTCCACCTGGCGAGTTATATTCACTGTTCCTACGAAATTACTCTGCTACTTTTTTGTTAGTTGTCACTGTCCACCCCTCGTCAAATTGGACAGTAGTCTTCAGTGACAATTTTTGTGTGGTATGTGTATGCCGCATTTAAGACATATACATGCGATGTCGATGTTTACTTCACTTCAGATTTAAATGGTCTGTTTCAACTTTTCGGTTTCTAGTGCTTGGTGAAGTGATTCAATGCATTGAATAATTCTCTGTTTTGATAGTTTCATTAGTAAATCAAAACAAGTGATTCAGCGAAGAGAGTCTTTTCAACGAATTTATCATCAAGCTGTACAGTCGTATATATATGGTTTATAAGAAGTTATTTCCAGTTAGGGAATTGAATCTTAGGTGTGAATGCATAAAATGTTAATATTAATAATAATAATAGTATGAAATGCAATTAAAAAACAGAAATGCAAAAAAAAACAATTATACTCATAGTTAAATGTCGAGTGGCAGAGCAAATTAATGTCATATATAGAATAATTCATAGGATGGGTAGAACTTGAAAAAGGGTGTGCAGTTATAAAATTAGTAGACAAATCGAATAAAACAAAAACGTTACTTAATATTGTGTGAAATTTAATGGCATAGAATTTATCGTTGTAAAATAGAAGAATTGATTTAGAATGACAAGTGGAACAAGTGAAATAATACCGGGGACAGTTCAAATTGAGAATAGTAATAATAACAATTGACGTAATAAGGAAGAGTATACAAATTGAATAGACAAAATGAAAAAATGAAAAATTGGTAGAGCTAAAATATGATTAGGGATTACCATACTTTAGCATAGAGGGATTAAGACCATGAAAGTTGGAGGGGTTGAACGAACTTTTTCTGTACACAGAGATCTGGCTTTTCTGTTTCGATAGCCAAAGCTTCAGCAATACAGACGAGTCTGATACGTAGGGATTTAGGTAAATTACTCTTTGCCTTGTAGATGACTTTAAAGGCGGAGGCTATAGAGATCGAGTGGTCATTATCGACCAGATGTTCAATGATCGCGCTTCTTATTGCTCCACTTCCACCTTTTCGTAGCCATGCAGGATAGTGTTCTTGCACCCTCTTGGACAAAACTCGAGTCGAACGACCGATATACCTAGCTCCACAAGAGCAGGTGAATTGATAAACGCACACAGAGTTGGTCAACAGCGGGATCTTGTCCTTCAGGTTAATGAACAGTAATGGTCGGCTAGTAAAGGATATTCTCACAGATGTAGCAAGGAATGTTGTTTTCAGGGACTGCGATATCCTTCGTTTCATGATATCGGAAGCTAAGTCCCCTTTGAATTCCAAGCTGAATCACTTGTTTTGATTTTCTATATGTTACAATGGGAATTTTCCATGGGTTTCATTAGTCCCTATGACCAGTTGCTGACGGAATCAGTCGTGAAGCTGAAGTGTATTCGATATTTGTCACTTGTTACAGATCTGTTTACCTTTTAATTAGTTTAATAGGTGTAGCATGCTTTATGATATATTTATATTATTTGTGAAAAGTTCCTTCCAATTAATATTTTGATTATCTCATTCTCACAAGTTTGTTGTAATCCCCAAGTTTTATTCTTACATCACTGATAGGATTCCATCATAGTTTGTTGATTTAGAATAGCACACCCCTCCTTGTTAAGGATTATTCACTGTTCAGTGTTCCGAGAGCGATTCCATTGCTCATATTCATGTTGAAGTAGGTGTATAACTTTCAGAGTCTATTTTTATAGTTCTTCTAGTGTTTCAATCGTTCATTTTTAGTGGTAACAGAATTTCTCAGACATCTGCAGTGAGTGCTGAATAACTCCGATCGCAAAGATTCAAAAATCAATTGAGTAACTTCAACTTTTCTAAAACCTCATAGCTGCCGCCTTATCTCCATACCCCACCTTAAGCTTCTTACTAAGTCACCAACATTTTAGGGACTACGTTGTGCTAAATTTTTTGTGTTAAGATATTCTGACTCACAACTACTTTTACCTAAATAGTTGACCTCACAGCCAGTCAAATATGTTAAACGGGGAAAAATACAGTGCCCAAGTGATGCCTTTTCACATAGAAATCATATCATGAGCCTAAGTTCTAAATAACTCCAACCTTCGAATAATTGTATGCGGAGATCAAATGCCTAAATAATGAATTAACCCTGTTGTGTTTATCACATTACAGGTCAAAGGTTAATCTAATGAGAAAATGTATCGTACTTTCTAAAGTGCCTCATGCGGGGGGGGGTGATTTAATAATGGTAGAAGTGAACATATACATTCTTTTTTGTAATAAGTTGAATTAAGTAATTACAGTCACATAGACCTTACTTTCGAATGCACTACATAGTTGAAATTAAAATTGAAAAAAAACTTCAACACGAATAGTAATTTTGTCGACTGCAAAGAGACATGGTGTCAGGATAATATATATATATATATATATATATATATCAGTAAATGTCTCCAAAATAGTAGATTACAATCTTCAGTCATTATGCCAAAAAGCGCCCGGATATTCCTGTTGCTCTTTGCATGTCGATGACTGACATGTATTTCATGGATACTTTACGTCAAAAACCGCTGACTCTGTTAAAATAACTTTCCATTGCATTAGCTAATAGTCTACTGAAATATATCCTTGAATTATCAATTATTCATTACTTTCATTCCTACCAGAAACAGGACTGTGAAGAAGATTGGTACTTCCCTTCGATGAATATTTTCGTGAATAAGAATAATCGACCATGGTCAATACTTCTGTTCATTACATATATCATCTTCACATTTTATACTATGAATTTAGCACTAACTTCTGTGTGCACACCGAAAGTATACTTCGACTGGTTTCTGCTTCCAAACGATTGCTCATATATTTATGATGCCTACAGGTAAGCCATTCCTTAAGCATGCAAACGCCTTTTTAACCAAGTTTCGAAGTAATCCTGAAGCATAAGATACGCACTTTACCCATTATTTTTATCAGAGAATAAACTAGGTTTGGATATATTCGTAGTTGGATACTGTGAGCAGCTATACTGCGATTATTAAGTCGTTAATTTTAAACGATGGAGCAGTTTCATTGGTGGATGATGTCTAGCTGCGGAATCCAGGATTTGCATTTCGTCCTATTTGGGACCCGTCATCTGGGTTTAGCTGCATTCCGCAGTGAGTGATGGTATTCCCACGGAGGTTCGGACCCAGTGCTCATAGTTTTAAACGCCAAAGCGTTATTCACTGGACCACTTGGGCCACGAGAGCCCAAATAGGACGAAATGCGCGTCCTGGATTCCACTGCTAATCACCATCCACCAATGAAGTTCTAGTTACATGCCCAGACATCGTCGAAGCATCTGCACAAGGAGCCGATATGTCAGCTTGAGATAGAGCACTTCGGGCCAATCGATCGACGGGAAAATATAAAATTCAGTGAGGTAGTCTGTTTGCATACTTAGTTAGAAAGTGCACAAAATAGGGTATTTTCATAAACAGAAAGACTACATCACATTATAATATATGGTGGTGATAATGCAGCATTACAAATGACACGAAAATCATTCCATTGAAGTGTTTCCACAGACATTTCCCAAGAATTATGTGTGACATAAGTGATTTTGTAGACGTGACTAGGACGAAACTGGTTCTTCCCAATAACCCATCAGCCATAACTACAATAGGTGATTGGACACTGAATATGTTACCTCTCATGTAAGTGGCACATATAAATTGACATGTATTCATACGTATACTAACAAGTGTACAGGTTTTTATGTGAA